TTTTTTTGCCCCCCCCCCCCCCCGTTACAATGGGCCTCTCTTGTTTGTTGCTGCCTCCTTTTTCCGCCTCTTTTGGAGTCGCACGAAGCCAGGCCCAGGTCAGGGCCCCGGCCGAGAGCGCGAGGGAAGTACAGGCGAGGCCTCGCTTCAGAAGGCCTTGGACCTCCCGAGGCGCCCGAGGCTCCCCGTGCCTCGCCTTGAAGCCTCGCAGCGTCTCCGACGCGTTCGTCGGCTCTGCCTCTCCGGGGTTTAGGGCTTTTAGAGTTTAGGNNGAGTTTAGGGTTTATAGAGTTTAAGGTTTAGGGATGTTAGGGGTTTTAGGGCTTGGGGGTTTCGCCTCCCGGTCCTGGTCCGTGGCCGCGCCAGCCCGGCGCAAGGAGGCGCTGAGCAGCTGAGGCGTCTCCTCGACGAGGCCCAACAAATCGGCCTCCTCCACGGAGCGGCTGAGGTTGCTCTCATCCACGAAGTTAGCCGAGACGGCCACGGAGGTCTTCAGGTTCTCCACCTCTATAGCAGCTCTCTCTCTCTCTCTCTCGCTCTCTCTCTCTCTCTCTCTCTCTCTCTCTCTCTCGCTCTTTATCTCTATATATATATATATATTTTTTCTATATATATATATATATATATATATAGATGAGGAGGGCCTATAGGAACTAACTAAAACGGGCGAGAGGAGGGCGAGGGCCCCGGCGCGCCTGGTGAGGCCATCCTGCCGGCACGAAGAGGAGATCCCCCGGCTCCAGCAGGACCTCCGACACCGCAAGGACGGCCTCCGGAGCCTCCTCCGGAGCCTCCTCTTTAAGGGCGTCGAGGTCCCTGGGGAAGACCGGGTTCAGGTCCGTCAGATAGAGCGGACGAAGGAGGCAGAGATCCTCTGCACTCACCAGCCGCCAGCGTTTCTGCCCATGGCAGAGCATCATCCAAAAGTGCGTCTGCAACGTGTCGACATGAAGCGAGGATCCCGTCCCCTGCGGCGCCAGGAACAGCGTGGGCCCCGCCGAGCCCGTCACGGGATGAACTTCCGCAGAGGCCGAGGTGTACAAGTCCCTTGGGAAGACCTGTCACAGCAGGCTCCCCTCGTTGCCCAAAAACTGCCGAACACAACGTACGGGAGTTTTGGGTTTAAGGTTTCACCTGGCTTGGCATCAGCAGCTCGCGCCCGATGCGGGTGTCCTCACAGTGCTGCCAAATCGAATGGTCGAAGAGCTGAGGGCTGTCCCTCGGTGCCAGCACCCCTTCCGCGAGGTAGGGCAGGACGTGCTCATCATAAAAGTCAGAGAACGGCACGGCGCTCACGAACTCGAGCCTGCCGAGCTACGCCGAGCTTGATTCACAAAAGGCAAAGTGTGCAAGACAAAAAGTCGACGAACAAAAATGAGAATCGGCCGAGCGGCGCAGCCCAATTTGCCGAGGCCTCCTCACAGCGCCGGATGGGCACCCGCCGCTGCCCCAAGATCTCTCGCAAGTCCTCTGGCGCCCAGCGCGGTGTCCGGAAGTTTCGCAAGATGAAGGGCCGCTCCTTTCCAGGCAGAAGGAAGCTTCGGAGCTCCTCTCGCGTGGTGGAGCCCGGGAGGATCTCCACGTCCGCCGCTCTAAGGCCGCGCCTCTGGCTCTGCAGGCTCCGCGAGCTCCGCGAGCTCCGCTGCTCCTCCCAGCGGAGATGCCGTTGAACCAGGGCGCCCAGGAGCGCCGCCGCGGCTTGCTGCGACTTGGAGGGGAGAGGATGGGCCCCGCTACGCAAGTCCGAGTCTGCCAGAGAAAGCTGCTCCGCTGCCTCCCGGTGCCGGCGGCCCAAATCCAAGACCGAGGCGAGCTGAACCCGCTCCCAGAAAGTCGAGGCCTTGGACTTCAGCTGCTCTTCGAGGCTCTGCAGCCGACGCGAGGCGTCTGCCGTGCCGCGGACCAGCTCCAAAGGCCTCAGAAAGCCGCCTCCGCCTCCATCTCCGCCGCTGCAAATTCGTTGGAGGAGGTCCCCGCGCAGCTCCCGCCAGGCGCGGCGCGCCATCCCGAGATCCGAACTCCATCGAAGAGCATCGCTCAAGGAAAGACACGACCAGGAATCAGATCACTCGGCGACAGCATCGGATGCAAAAGAAGAGAATCCGACTCCCCGCCTTCTCTTTCTTAACGATGTCCGTGTAGACCTCGTGGTGGCGAGACGACCAGAAGAGCAAGTCGGTGCTGTATGACTCTAAGCGGTCTGCCACAACCGCTGCCGAAGGATCGAAAGTGGCTGAGACCTGTGCAAAGAGAGGCCCTGGCCAGCGGGCCCCCCCCCCGAGTTCTTCCAGGAGCCCCCGAGTCCCCGGCCCCTGGAAAACGTGGCTGAGGCTTGTTTCGGTCCGGCGGCTGGCCGAAGCGCACACAGGGGACCTCCACTCCCGGCTGCTCCACTGACAGAGAAAAGGTGGGAAGCTTTCGACAAAAGCCAGGCCTTCGTCTCCATTCGGACGAACAGAGCAGCTCGTCCATTTAGAGGACCCCCCAAAAAAGAAATTATGGTGGATCTTCAGCTGTTCCAAGGGTTCTGTGCGGGGTCCCGTATTGCAGGGGGGGTTTTTGAAGTTGCCAGGCTCATGACTTACCTGGAGATGCCTTAGCCGCTCATCTGCACCAAGATGTCGAGTTGTAGCACACTCTATAACGGCAAAGCAGGCTGTTCACCAAGTTGTGACGGTCGGCAGTGCCCTACCTGTTTGTTCATTCTGGCATGCTCAAGGCGCTGCCTTTGGCATGCGCCGGTGGTCCATTATCACAGCCGCATACCGCAGCTCCCTCTGTTCACTGTCGGTGCATTTCTTGGGATGCGCTTGAAAAGTGTCACAACGACCATGCCTCAATGGGTCATGCTTGCTCTGTTCTGCCAAGGGGCCTGGGCCTATCCTCTATCATGTTCCAGACTTGTGGGCTGCCTCATTCAGCATCTGATGGCCAAGCAGCGCTACTCCTAGCATGTTGTCACAAGGTGCTTCTGACTCTGCCGGTCTCCAGTATGCTCCGCCCCCCCCCCCCTCCTTGTCGAGCACCCTCGAGGACCACGCCGACTGTCCAATCCTCCAGGCGGCGGGCGTCGCGGGAGTCGCGGGCGCGTGCCCCCCCGCTCTCTCGCCAGGGCGAGGGCTTGATGGGAACCTGCACCTGGCTGCCCTGGACGGGCCTCCGAAGGCAAGAGACTAGCCCTCCAGAGAGCTTGAAGCGAAGTTCACGAGACTCCGGCGAGGACGAGGCCGACTTCCGCAAGCTACCCTGGCCCTCCTCCGGTGTCCTGCGAGAGAGCGCGAAACAGACCTTTGGGGCCCTTCCAGGGCCCTTCCAAGGAGGCGCGGCTCCTCTCGGCTTTGCCCTCAGCACAGACACAGCGAGCTCTCATTTCAACACGGCTTTCGCTTGGCGTAGGCCCACCCCCGTTCTCAAACAAGCTGCGATGCAAGTGGATTCTGGAACCACGTCCCTCTGCACCTCAGAGACGGGATGAGAACCCGATGCGACCCCCTTCCGGAGCCTGCCGGGGCAACTGCAAAGCGGCTTGTGACTGCTGCAAAGGAGTCGGTGGGGCTGTCGCCGTCGGCGTATCCTGCAAGGGCCAGCTGCATTTGTGCCAGAATTCCAGACTTTCTTCTTCATGCTTTGCCACGTACTTCCTGTAGCTCACTGTCGCTGTTCCACCTTCTACAACTCTGGTTTCGCTACTTGTATTTGTGCATGACTGACTTTGACACGGTGATCCAACTTAGACAGCTCCATGTGCTTTGCTCCCCCAAACCTGCTCTCCAGGATCCCCTTCACGACCTCTCATGGAAAGACAAAAAAAACCCCTCTAAAGCCCCTCCGTGGTCTAGGCATCCCGGTCCAGGGCTTCTTGCATCTACGAGTGTCGTGGGCATGCCTTCGAATGTGGAGGACATCCGAATTTCGAGCTCATCTCGGCTCAGATGCTTCCCAGACATCTCTGGATCCTTGGTTCCCTCGAATTCGATCGGATGCCGCGCTACATTCTTCGAATCCTGAAACCCTAGTGTGGCTTAGGAGACTTAGCTGAAAGCCTAGGACTTTCAGGTCAGATCTGCTAATGCTATTGCTACTCTGCTGCTGAAGCCTGCACCCCAGAACCTCGCACACCTTGGGCCAGGTGAGTTGAGCCAGCATCTGTTTGCGATGCCTTGTATCATCAACCCTGAGCGTCTACTCTCACCAGGATCCTGAAACCTTCGTTAAAGTTGCCAAGTAGGGCGCTTTAGGGTGTAAGGTGGATGAAGCCTTGACGGCATGACGGTAGCAAACTTTTGGTTGGCAACCACCGCATGACCTGGTCAATCATCTTCATGCAGATGCTTATCTATGTGATTACACCTCTTAGGCTAACAAGTGGAAAACTGGCATTGAATCAAACACTTACTGCCATGGTCCCTGCCGAATCATCGTGCGTGACTGAAGGATCCTCTTACCGACGGCTAGACTCATCTCTTGCAACAATCCTTCAACATAAAAAAGAGAGAGAGAGAGAGAGAGAGAGAAAGATGCTTTGTCGCGAAGGGCTTGTTATTGAGATTCAGCCTTTCAACCCCTAGAAACTTAAATTCCGCGGCACCCCAACCCCCCCCCC